AATATATATTTACATATATATATTTTTTATTTTGTATGTATGTATATATATGCATATGTACATATATATACGTGTATATATATTTATATATGTGTATGTGTATATATATAAATATATTTGTTTGTATGTATATGTATATATATTTGTATAGATGTTTGTATATATATATATGTATATGTTTTATTTTGTATATATAGAGATATATTTTTATATAGGAGTATATATATTTATATTTATATTTGTATATAGATATAAATATATATGTAGGAGTATATATATATATTTTTTAAATAGGAGTATATAGATTTTTATATAGAGCATATATATATATATATTTTCAAATTTTGTCAAATTTTTTCAAATTTTTTCAGATTTTCCATATGGTATGTCATGTCAGACGCCACGTGGTGTGACATGTCATCAGTTAATGGACATTTAATACCCAATTCAGATTGTGTAGGAAATTGCAGTTAAATTGGGTAATTCGTATATCAATTTGGCATATTTGATAATTTGGTATAGTTTTTTGTCAAATTAAAAGTTCGTATAGAAAAAAAAGTCACATTTTAAACGGTCCGTGTAGGAAAATATCATTTTTACTTTTTAAAAAAAAAACCATATCCATTGGCGGCTATTTCATTTTGAGTGAGGAATTTTTTTAAAAAAATTGTTATATTTTATTTTCATGGACATACATGATACATGTCCACGCACTTCTATGCATGCATGATTGTGCGTGCGTAATCACGCTGCAATTTTCCTTTGACTTTGCCTGATATATCATCCATGTTTCTTTGTAACCGACGTCGAAAACTTTATAAAGACACCCAAAAAAAAACAATTTAATTAGGCATTTCGGTTCTACAAAAAATATTAGAGGACTTTCGTATATATTAATTTGTACTTCATAACTATAATTAAGGAAATATTCTTATTATCTGGTACTTGTAGTTTAGACAAATTATCATTTTTATGTATATATATATATATATATTCTTGTAATCTATTCTAAAATGTTTACGAGAATATCATTGGAAAAAAAAAGAAGTCTTTTTAGTCTTGGAAACCGTCAAGAGAAACCGTAGCTATCATCAAATCCTCACTTTATTAAAAAAAAAAAATGTTACGAAATTTTGTAATTGTAGTACTCAACAGAATATCAAATGTCAGTTGTGATTCCCGACGATTACTTTGGATATACATTAAAAAAGCATCCATGTAATTAACAACAAAACATACAAAAAAAAAAACATTGTTAACGACACATGCATTACACAACTCGTTTTCGCACCTGAACACGTCCACCTCCTCGTTGCCTCACATAAATATTTAATTATATGCACGAAAAATAATCAATATAATATATATATATATTATAAAGTGGATATCAGTATGTACTCTATACATATATACGTGATACTTAAAGTGGAGTAGCGAATCTCAACAACATGGTGGAATTCGAAGAGTTAGAACCACTCAGTCCTATTAAAGACGATGAATCTGACAAAGACGACGAAGGACAAGACCTTGCCGGCGAAGAAATCAGCTATGACGATCTCAAGAAACGCATGTGGAAGGACCGATTGCTCATGCGCAAGTTCAAGCAGCAGAAACGAGTCGACGCCGTTGCCGCCGCCGCTCGCCGGCCGGAAGCTTCCCGGCGCAAGAAGATGGCGCGTGCCCAGGATTCGGTGCTGAAGTACATGATGAAGATCATGGAAGAGTGCAAAGCTCGGGGGTTCGTGTACGGTATCGTACCGGAGAAGGGGAGGGCAGTGATTGGATCTTCTGACAGCCTGCGACGGTGGTGGAAGGAGAACATCCAGTTCAACCGGACCGCCCCGACTGCCATCTGCGACTACCTGACTCTCGCGGCGGAGCAACTGTTGTTTTCCGCCGATCAGGACGCGGACGTGAAGTCGTACATGCACATGCTTCACGAGCTACAAGACACGACACTCGGGTCGTTGCTGTCGGCTCTGATGCAACACTGTGCGCCGCCGCAGCGACAGTTTCCGCTGGATAAAGGGATTGCTCCGCCGTGGTGGCCGACGGGGAGCGAGATCTGGTGGGGAGAGCAAGGCTCGGGTCACGAGCTCGAAGCTCCGCCGTACCGGAAGCCGCACGATCTGAGGAAGGTGTGGAAAGTGAGCGTTTTAACGGCCGTGATCAAACACATGTCTCCGAACCTGGAGAGAGTGAGACGTCTCGTCAGACAGTCCAAGTGTCTGCAGGACAAGATGATGGCGAAGGAAACTGACACGTTGTCTCGAGTTCTTAACCAAGAAGATGCTCTTCGGCAACTAACTGAGAAATGCCTCGAGATCTCTGACGACAAGGAACAAGATCAAGAACCGTGTTTTGTCGGATCAAGTACCGGAAAAGACAAGCAGGTTGTTCAAGAACAGACGGGTGGTAACAAGAGAAAGGTCGATTTCCGCAGGGAGGAGGGTGAGGGTTCGACGTCTTGTGACGCCTGCCAGAACCCGAATTGTCTTCACAGTGAGAAGGGTTTGGGTTTTGTGGACAAGAACTCGAGGACAGACCACCAGCTTCAGTGCCTTTACAGCAATTTCGCCCGAGAACCCGTCAGAAACATGGGAGATCTCGATCAGAGTTTGGAAACGTTGGTTCCCCCTCTTACCCAAGATTATCTCTGGTCCGAGAAGATGAATGATCTGAATGACCAGAAGGAGATTGAAGATGTTCTTGCCATGGATGCAGCCTTCAAGAAAGGGAATGCGGAGTCGAATGTGACCCAGTTTCAAGAAGACCGTTATTCTAATCACACGAACGAAGCTTTCTCGGTCTGGGATATGGGATACGAGGAAATAGATTAACTTTGCTTCCATTCCGTGTTCTGTTTTCTGAGTAGATATTGTGTAACAACACGTCTGAGAACAAAAACGATCAACTGCCCACTGTCTGTTTCAGTTTCAGGATTCAGGAAACAAGTTTGGTTTTTCCAGTTGATGCAACGAAATCAAACTTGTTTCTGCAGTTACATGTCTCTATGACAGCCACAATGAAGGAATGAGAGTTAAAAAACAGAGAAAATCAGAGTTGATGGTCGAAGCCTTTTTATACTATACAACTTGAGCTGTAAAAAAAAAAAAATTCTTCTGATCTCCTTTCTGTCCTTTTTTTTTTCAGTCGTAAAAGCTATGCCTTTTGGGTATGCAATCATCAAAATCAAGTCTTGTGGAGGCACAGGACAAACCTTTCCTGAATCTACTCTTGCTGGCGTTCTTCACTTTCACTTCGACGGCGAAGACAGCACAAACCGGTCTGTGGTCTGAGAATCTCGATTCGCCCCTTATATAAGAGAGCTGTTCTATCCCATTTCCTCGCCATAGTATCCTGTCACACCTGCAATATAAGCCCAACAACAACAACACGTATGAAATCGTCCAAAGGTCACATCATACCAACACAAATGCGTTTTTCAAGATAAACCCATCATTTATTCGGGTGAAAAGCTTCGATCTTTGACGAGAAAACAAGTTGTTTCAGCTGTTGATTGGAAATACCAGGCAGGGGTACGGCGTTTTTTCTTGGACTTAGTGGTTTCTCCGGCGTATGCATCCGAGTTATGTGAGTATTTGTATGTCGGGGCGAAGAGGATTTGGCCTTCTTGAAACCTGGAGAACACTCTTCCTGCTTCCCTCTCTATGTTCAGCTGAAAAACGCCGACAAGAGAAAGGAAGAAAATGTGAGTTTGATGAAATGGTGTTATGTAAAACAGAACAATGTATTATCCTCTGTTTTTTTTTTCTTTCTTAAAGAACAAAAACCTGATCTTTCTCAAGAAGAGTGTCCCAGTCATTATCCTCTAGTAGTACCCTCGTCTCCTCGTAGCTTAAAGCCACCCGGTAATTCAGATCTCCGAGCCAAATCACTCGGCTGCGAGCATTTCAGATATAAAATCAGAGAAAGAAACTGTAACGTAAGATGATTAAGAGTCGAACGTAGAGGGCTAAGACGCACTCGTGCTCTACTATCCTCTCGGGGGCACCACAATTAGGGTTCTTGGAGATTTTCGGGAACTGGGTATGTTTCAGAATCTCTGCCACGTCTGCGTTTCGCCGCTGCTCGTCGCCCTCTTTCTCACCAGAAGCTAAGTGGCTACAGACAAAACAAAAGCTTGTCTGGTGCAGTGACATGCTTATGGCAATACATCCCTGAAACATGCAGAAATCTCAACACCCATCAGCCAAAAACCCGAATTTCAGGTACCCTTTTCGCAAGAACTTGTTACGAAGAAGATGGTACCTTATTCCCCAAGCGACCCATTATCCCTCTTCCCACAGAATCCAACCTGAGATGTGATATATGTGGAATCAGCTCTTTTCTTGCCCAAACAGAGAGGAACAAACCGACCATTTGCTTGCTCGCGATCAATCCGTAACTCTTTTGGCCTGGCATCCTCGTAGAAGCTGGAACATCATCAAAGAGAAAGTTTTCATGCACTCTGAAATTCACCGGCTCGAGATTATCTGTAGGATCACTCATCTTTCTAATCCTTCTTCCCTCCCAGCCCGTTGTGATTCTTGATCCGGAGAAAGTGGCATTCGAGTAGTTTGTGTCTTCGTTCGGTTTGTTCAGAGCTTGACTTATTAGGGCTAACCATTTTGCAGCAGGCTCGTTGTCTTCAACGACTAACACATTTCCTGCACTCAGCGGAACGATTTCCTGAAACCTGAAAACACCAGAAGGCGAAAATCTTCAGGCATCTAACGGTAAAAAACCAAATTATACAGAAGATGAACGTCGTAAATTTGTATAGATCATACCCACAGATATACAGATCTGCGGTTCCTTCCACGAGCAAGAAGTCTTCCAGGTTTAAATCGTTGTTCGGTGTTCTCCCTCCGACATTCCATGTAGCTACAAACACCCTGAAAGTAGGGGGGGAAAAAAGACTTTCAGAAGAAGACAGTGTGGATTTTGTGTTTGGAACTGGATAAGTTCAAGCCCTCGATCCACCTGAGTTCCCGAATCTCAGTTCTATGCGCCATAGGTCTGTCGAAACTGGATAAGTTCAAGCCCTCGATCCTGGGACTTGTCTGTCTCGCTGACAAAGTAAAAAAGGAAATCAGTTCCCATATGGTCGGAGTCCATGGCCCCTAGATCTATCTAACAAGATCAAGAACTGTCACTTTCCCCAAACACAAGCTGGATAGCCCTAATCTTTGACATTGTAACGATTCTTTCCTTTTCATTGCCAGTAATCGTGTCTGTAAAACCATGTCCAATTTCTTGGTAGGTAAGCTACCAACGATAAATTCTCCCAAAATCGTATCCAGAACAAACCCATCAATACGGATTCAACAAAACGACAAATCTGGGCGTAGAAGAAAAAGAAGGAACCGAATCTATAAAGATAACCTGAGAAAGTCTTCCGTATCATCGGAGGATTGTCGGAGAAGGGTTTCTTCCGGGAAGTGATTCGTCTTTCCAAATCTGCTAAACACGATCCCAGAGCCATCGAAACCATCGATTCATGATAAAAACAACGAGAACGTGGGAAATTAACGGAGAATAGCGAGGAGGTATTTCGTTAGGGTTTGTTTCTTGGGATGCACGTAAGTACCGTGAAGAACGGCGTCGTCGTCTCCTCTGTTGTCCATGATAGGCGACGCATCCTCCTCTTTACCGCATCGCCTCGATCCAAAAATCTTCGGAAGAATAGACTACGGAGACATGAAAGAGACTTTTAATAAAAATTATAAAATCTACGATTACAGAAACTGGTGAATGGGTTTCACGTCGCATCGTCTTCCCATTAAATAATTCAATTAAAATAATAATAATAACCTTCTTCCTCTTCTCGCACCTGACGCCGTTCTCATGGTCCCTACCGTTTTTGGGACTCATTCATCAAATTCTTCTTTAAAATACACTATCTTGGGCGTTGATCGGGTGATGAAGATGATCTTCTGATGAGATTTCAATAAACGTGACCAGAGAGATATCGAATTTTCTGGGTTTGATTTCTTTTTTTTTTAATAAAAATAATTGGGGTTGTTTTTATTTATTCATATATTGAAAACGAGGATTTTCTGCGATCAGTTTGAAAAGATCAGATTTTGGCGGCAGCTACTTCGGGAGATATACACAATGTTACAGTTTTGCCACAAACGACAAAATCTTTTATATATCTCTAATCCTTTTACTACATCAACCAAATGCCTACCAAAATCTTATCTAACTTGACCACACGTACATAAATACAACCGTTATTATATTCCCGTCATATACTAATTCCATGCCGAGAAATATCTAAAATATTATAACAGATACTCGTAATTACTCGTATCAATAAAGCATAAACTGGCCTTACAATACACCAACCACAACAACATATCATAAAAACCTCTATAAATAGATTTAAAAAAATAAAATTGACGAGACATGACAACAACCATAAAGCCGACAAGAACAAACACGGGAAAAAAGGAATAAAATAGCCTTGAAGTCGCCGTCGGCGAGATTGCGGAGGGCGTCGCAGCCGTGGAGGGGCTCGAACCGGGGGAAGCCCATCGAGTTGGCGAAGTGGCGGTTGGTGGCTGCGCCGTTGGAGCCCGTGAGAATCACGGTGTCTGAGCTCCGACGACGGTCCGTTTCATGACAACCGGGCATCGGACTTCCGACCAATTTGGCCAGACACTGTTGGTCTATGTTACATATGAATGCCTATCACGTTGTTTAACAAATAAAAAAACACGAGAGAGTAGGGTGGAAACGAATGCAGATAATGGGCTTCCTGTGTAATGAATAAATAATGGGCTTTTGGTAATGAATAGATATTGGGCCTTTAGTGTTTCACCAGAGCGGCCCAAATAATAAAACCCCACAAAATCAGGCCCATTTGGTTTCGTATTGTTTAATCACTGAACCGATGTTTCCGTTGAACCGTCTTTGGAAACTCGCTTCGAACACTCCGTCTCCACTGCTCCTCTCTCGACCGATCGATCGACAATGGCCGCTACGTCTAACTCGCTCTTTTCCCTCGCTTCCTCCAGCTCACTTAGTCATCCGACTCGGAACCTTGCGCATTGCCCTCTTCCTGTATCCAGGTCCAGCTCCGCCGTGTTCCGTCTCAGACGTCGGCCCAACTCGCTCGTCTTGTGCTCCGCCAATGGATCGAACAGCGCCGAGAAGGAGACTCCAATCGAACTCAGTAATCTTCTCTCTGTGTTCGATCCCCCGCAATCTGATTAGAATTAGATCCAAACTTCTGTTACTTTTCTAATTTCGCGCCGAACTCGCAGAATACGAGGCGTTTCCTACGGTGATGGATATCAATAAGATCAGAGAGATTTTGCCTCACAGGTGAAATTTCTCGGCAATGTTTGGCTCAAATTGTACTTTTCCGATCCATTTCTTCAAATTTGGGATTTGACTCTCAATCCGATGTGAAATTGTTCTGTAGGTTCCCGTTTCTGTTAGTGGATAGAGTGATAGAGTACACGCCTGGTGTATCGGCGGTAGCTATAAAGAACGTGACCATTAACGACAACTTCTTTCCAGGGCATTTCCCTGAAAGGCCGATAATGCCTGGCGTTCTCATGGTTGAGGTAATTGCAAATGCTGCTTTGTTCTTCCCCCAATTTCGGTTTATTTACCTGCGTTGTATCTATGGCCTAAGCCACGCTTGATAATCTATGTGTTCCTCATTGTTTGGATGCTTTCTTGCTGAAGAAGTTGGTTGTACGAAGGACTGGAAAAAATGAAGTTGGATGTTGTTGATTTTGGATGGTGATGCTGGTTTAGATTTAGGAGAAGTGTGGAGGAAGGTTTGGTTAAAATTTTCAGTTGAAATGCCATACTGCCGTGGAATTAGTATGTTACATGGAGTTTCATATGGGTAAAAACAAAACCATTGGATATGATATGAATCTGGCTTGGACATTGGAGCAAAATTCCCAATAGGCTATCCTGGATAACGGTACCATACTTTTCTGGAGATAACGGTACCGTGAGTTGGAAGATATGTGTGCCCAATTGTGCTAAAATCTAAATCCAGTTCCCTTTGCTTGTGTTATTTCGATATCTAGCTTGTATGACATTGCAAATACAGTTTTCTTTTTCCCAGATGATTCTAATGATTTCTTCATGCTGCTGCATGGGATTTGAGCACTCTAAATTGTTCTCCTATGGAGTCCAATCGTGGTCAATACTTCTACTTGGCTTGTCCTTCTGGTTTGCTTAGTAGGAACAGATGTCTATGATTAGGAAATAAATGTCATGATCTATAGGAAAATTTCCATCATTGTGGTATAAAAGGACATGTTTTATCGTCATGTCTTAATGTTGAAATGCTTATATGTTCTCCATGCATGGCATAGTTGAACATTTGCTTAGTCCCGCCTTAGTTCTCGAATCATGAAATTAAAAGCTTATGACCTATTGGACCGTCAAAATTTGATTAGTTAGTAGAACAATTGGATTGGATGGATCATTCTTTTGCCCTTTTCTGGTAAAGGGTGATACCAGAGGGACTGAATGCATTAAGCCCTGCTTCTGAATTCCTCCTAGGCACTGCAAATGCGATGACTTATGCATAGAGAGCTCCATTCATTACTTTCTGGTCTTCATTTGCAAACATTGTGAGTACATATCAAAACTGAAGAATTTGCTGGTTACAGGCCATGGCTCAGGTTGGAGGAATAGTTATGCTGCAACCAGAAGTGGGCGGTTCTCGGAGTAACTTCTTCTTTGCTGGGATCGACAAAGTGAGATTCAGGAAGCCCGTGGTTGCAGGCGATACTCTTGTAATGAGGATGACTCTCATAAAGCTGCAGAAACGTTTCGGCATAGCCAAAATGGAAGGGAAAGCATACGTCGGAAACTCCCTCGTATGCGAGGGCGAGTTCTTGATGGCAATGGGAAAGGAGGAATGACAATGCTTATTCTCTCCATGGTAACAATCTTCTTTCTTTTTAACAAAAAAAAAAAACTTTCTTCTTTCTTTCTTTCTTTTTTTCTCTCGACAATTTTTTTGCTGCCTTTTTTTTATCATCTTGTGATGGATCTTTCCTTCTTTGCATGAACCCATTTGACTGGTCTTGTCCCTGAACCTGTCTTGCCTTGCAAAACTAATCTTCATACCATGAGATTGCATAATTTAGTTGGAGGTTAGCATTCATATCATTACAATTTACATCCAAGAGTTCGATTTCTTCAGGTGCAAATGATGATTTGTATTGCTTTTCTCACCTTTTCATTGCGGCTATGTTTGGATTATTATAAATCCCAGTCACCGCAAGGATTTTGATGGTTGCTAGTTTGATTGAAGAGTATGAACCAAACGGCAAGTCACATCAAGTTCTTGTCTTTGTGAAGTGAGATGGTCTTTTGAAACTTGTCTTCACTGGTCCGTTTTGGACACGTAGAGATTGCCCTGCCTCCATCTTTGCTTAGATTTAAAAAAAAATTACAATATTAATTTCCATTAGTTGTGTGGATCCCTTCACTATACATATATATATGTGTGTGTATGTGTGTGTGGCCGGTCAGCGATGTAGCTGATGAGGGCACAATCCATCCATCGCGGTAAAAGCCGCAATAAATTCGTTTGCAGTAAAATCCACTCTATAAATAAAGACTAGGCAGTAAAGATAAAAAATGGTGAATAAAAATTCCACGTCACATATGAAGATGCGCCTATTTTCTGATTACACACACACATGAATATATATATGTATATATATATATAAAACATATACACTGTACCTTGGAATTAAATAAACAGAGGAAATGAAAAAAAGTAGTGAATGAAATGAGGAGCGATGTGGAGCTTCGGCTTGGCGTTGTGTGCGTCCATTCTTTTGCGTACAAGTTGGTAGGAAACATCAATTATGATCTACACTTTTAAATTTTTAATATTAAAAATAGAGGAATTTAAAAACAAAATAATGGAATCTATTGGTGCACAGGCAGCCACACACACTTGTCGGCTTGTGTTTCTTTCTTTCTGGGTAATAAAAAAAAAAGAGGAGGGGGGGTTGGAATATCATTGGTTGCTACTATTGATACTTTGTCCCTGTTCGCGAGGGACAAGGTGCGTGAACTCGAATCATTAAAAAAAGAGAGAGAGAGAGAGAGGGAGAAAAGACAATGTATATATAAGTTTATATGTATATATGTGCATGTATATATATAGAGAGAGAGACCCAAAACCTAAATACAAAGATATTCATTTCCCAAACTGTCAAATTTCTATAGGAAAATTGATATAAGCGTTATGTGGTTGGAAAAAATTTCAAAATTGATAAAGGGTTTGATCAAAAGGTTAATTTGGAGATTCTTTTTTTTTTTAAAGGTTAGGCAGTGAGAAAAGACATGAAAATTGACAGTCCAGCTAATAAAAATGTGGGTATGTGTCGAATGTTAGGGCAACGAGTGACGCAATTCGACCATTAGACTTACATGTCGACATTTCACAGCTTTGGTCCCTAATATTGATTATGGTTATTTATATGGAATTCCATTACAAGAAAAAAAACAGAAGGGATAAATAAAATTTATATTTTTTTGGATATTTGGTTATTTTGAACCAACGATATAAACTAATCTCGAGATCGAAAATCAACTAAATAATTTAGAATATATACTTTCTTTCCAAATTTAAAGTTCGAATCCGGACTGGACGAAGAGTTTGGGTTCGTTTTATAGGTTTAACTAATCAAATTTGTAAATAAAATTTAT